GAGCTTGGTGTTGTCAGCAAACTTGGAGAGGGTGCACTTGATGCCATCTGTCACTAATCTAATGAGGATGCTAAACAGTACAGGTTACAACACCGACCCCTGATTGAATGCCGCTTGTTACTCGTCTCCACTCAGACATTCCAAGAAGCTGGAATGATATTGGGAATGGGGAGAAGAGTAGTGCACGTACTTTCACTTAAAAAAAGAAAAATTATTCTTGTCAGGCATTTGAAGAAGAAAAATTATTCTTGTCATGCAGAGAGTTATTGTACTGTTCCTGTTCTCTCAAATCTCAGCTGAAAATCGGGTTACAACAAGCTAAATCTAATTGAACGCATGTTGCAGATATAGTAAGGATTAAATAAAAATAAGTTAGCTCTTTACTACAGAGTAGAGCTTATAATATACTCAGGGATTATAAAAGTAAGAATATCTCTATACAGATCACAGTGTTCCTGGTTGGGCACCTTTTTTCTGTGGGCTGCCCTAGGTCCATTGCTTCTCATCCAATACATAAACTCTCTTACCAGTCCATTTCAATTATTGTTAAGATGAGGCAATAGAAACAATGAGGTAGAAATACGGATTCATTAAACTGTTGTGAGTACAGTCATGTTCTTTCTACCATTCCTTCATCAATGGTGATTTTTATTTACTTTTGAAATTACTGTGTGCAAGGAAGTGGACAGATTGCCAGACGTGGGTACCACGAGGTTTGCTTTATTAACAGGTCGGTGTTGGGCCACCACTTCAGTGCATGGCAAAAGGCCCAAGATCTCGCACAGTTTATGTACTATTCTTTACCCATTACATAAAGTCTTTGTAAATCTCCACTTGACCTTTCAGTTCTCAAAAGTCATCATTTATTAAAGTCCATAATTTTCCCTTGTTGCAGCTGAATTCATCTTTTCTGGTTCCAATTTCTTGTTCCAGTTTTAGGGTCATCTTTGGGTCGCTGTCTTTTTAATCACTTCTACTAATTCCATCTTGCACAAATCTAAGACAGACTTCAGGAAGTACTATTAAAGGTTTAGCTAAATCAAGCAGTTTTTACCAATTAACTTCCTTTTGTCTAGCAAAGCACCTGTGCTTAATTAATCACTCTTTGTTGAAACTGTCTCTACATGATTAGCTTGACTGGGTTTTAAACCAGCTTTGGGTGGGTCTGTGCAAGAAGCAGGCTGAGAACAAACGTTCTAGGCCTGTTGAGCAGTTTGTCTGGTTGTAGCTGGTAACATATTATGAGGCAGCTATACTCTAAACACTTTACAAGACCCCAAACCCCATACCTGAAGCTGTACTAGAGACTGAAAAATTCTTTTACAACTGCAAACAAATCTTTAGACCTGAAGAGCAGTTACTTTCAGGGATCTAAAACTTAACTTTTCTCTTATGCCACCACATAAGCACCACTTCAGACAGTGTTCATGTTGCAGTATGGGAATCCCAGGAATGCTGCTTTAGGCCAGCTTGCTGACTACAAGATTAGCAGTGTAAAGTTCATAAAAATTGGGAGGTACCAGCAACAAGGTTTAGCCATCAGTCTGGAAGTCTACCTCTTGTGTCTTACAATGGTGTAAATATTGAGTCAAGAAATACTTTCGTAGTGTCTTGACATAGTAAATATGACTGATAATACAACTGTCCAACTGCAAATTCAGAACTGGTAACTTTCTTTTAAAAAAGAAGAGGGGGTGTGGATTCTTCTCAAGTACAGCTACTGTTCACATAAACTTAGAAATAATGGCATGTTTGGTCAGTGACCAAATACATTTCACGTATTTCAGAATCAGCAGTCTGAGTCCAGAACAAGATCAGGGACTATGGAAACAGAGGTAAATATGATACCATTTATTAATTTCCTTTTAATTTATCTTGCAGTTTGCATTTAAAGGACTTGTATTTCTGGCTAGTCTCTAGCATTCCAGCTAGGAGCATGAGTTAGTTATTTTACGTGTACCAAATGGTGATATTAGAGAGTTCTATAGTATGAGGCTTTAGGTTTACATTTTGTTTGATTTCAGCCATAAATCCTCTGCAGCTATTCAGAATGAAACTCCAAAGAAAAAACCCAAACTGGAATCCAAGCCATCAAATGGAGATAGGTAAAGTTATATTTTTGTAAAGCTGAGCCATTTCAACCAAATTAGAGTACTGACACGTGGCCAGTTGCTGCTTTTATTTTTATTTCTTTGGTCTGAAGAATGAGGGAGGCGAAACTGTTGTCCAGGCAGACAGGTTATTGGGTGGCATCTGAGTGCTGTCGGTCAACTAAATGACTTCATTAGCAGAAAACTGGCACTGTGTTCCTGCTTTTAAGCTGTTTGGGGCAAAATGAAATAAAACTTATGTACGAGGCAGGTATTGTCAATGGAACAGTGTTCCCTAACATCGGTATTTTGTCAATTGGATGCAGGGTTGAACCTGCTGCTTTAAGCTGACCTAGTATTTAGAGACGTTTTTAGATCTTAGTGTGAGACTGAATCTTTATTCTGTCTCTGGCCAAACAGTTGGAATAAAAGTAGAAGTGGCTGCTTCAGTCAAAAGGGTTATTTGTCCCCCTCAAAGCTAATACTTAATTATATTTCTGCAGGTGTATGTAATGTGTGCCATTAGTAAGGTAATGTGCCAGTTGCATCCATTGCTGTCAGGTACATACTTTTTTTGCATTAGTCCTTAAGGATGTTTGTGGAATTATTAATTATCCAATTTGAACTTTTAAAAAAGTTATTATTCTACTGATGTTGAAAATAACTTGGGGTTTTTTTTTATTTTTAGTAGCTCTATAAATCAGTCAGCAGACAGTGGAGGAACTGACAACTTTGTCCTCATAAGCCAGCTGAAAGAAGAAGTGATGTCGCTTAAACGCCTCCTGCAGCAAAGAGATCAAACTATTTTAGAAAAAGATAAAAAGGTAAAAGTTACACCTGCTTAATAAGATCTTTGCCATTTTGTTTTCTGTTTTGTAGATGCCTAACAAAAAATCAGATACAATTTTTTTATATAGCGACTAATCGGTTCTTACCATTTAAAGGACACATTTGGGACTTCTGTATCATGAATGATGGTAGGAAAGAGGAACTCATCTTACCTCATGTCAGCCATCTAGAAGCTAGCCACCTGGTTCACTGTTGCTCAGGCTGCATGCCACGGGTGAGGGATAAAATGCCAGGCAGTGGTTTGCAAGTTCTACCCGTTCTAAACAGAGTCATGGCAAAGACCCCAGCGTAGGCTGATGGGCACACGAGCTGGGAGGAGGAGGAAGAGTACTAACCATTCTGAGTTCAGCACAGTTTTTGTTTAGTTTTAAACTAAAGCATGAGTTGGTGTCCAAATTTACATGTACAGTGCATGCAGATGATTCTAAAAGCTCGGTAGCATATGTAGTGTAGGTTATGGAGTCTTGGTGTAGGTCAGAGACCAGAAGAAAAGCTTGGGTCAGAATGCCTGGCAGTCACCAAGTGTTAAGTGAAAGTCAGGCCCAAGTGGCTGCAGTGAGACTCATGCAAGAGTCACCCTTCAAACAACCTAATGACTGACAAGAAATAACTACAAATGCCTGCTTTGCTCTGCCTTTATTAGAGCTTATTTCTCTGCTCTGATGTAACCAGATGCTTTTAAGATGTGGTGACAGTGGCTCTAGAATGTCTGTTCAGGATTGAGTGGGTTATGAAATTTTATGAAACATAATTTTATTCTGTTTTCAAATAAAATTGTGATTATAGATGCACGGCGGCCTATCAAAACATTGATGGTTAAGAAAGGCTCATTGCTTCTGAAAGGAAAATGCTTCTACTTGTAAACCATAGTTCGGTATCTTCATTTCTACACTTGAATGGTGTTGTGTAAAGGATATTGAGTCTTTTTTTGTTGATATCACTGTTAGAATATATCTAGTGTTGGAAGTACTTGCTGTTTCAAGCCTGTAAGTGGTTAATGTGCAAGAGCTGAACAGTCTGTCATGGATTCTCTTTAGGTATTTTCTTCAAAGGACAGACATTAAGGCCCTGATCTCTCTCTTACAAAGCCAGTAGAAGATCATGAGTCAGTAGGAAGTTCACTTATCTCTTTTTATATTTGATCTGCTGGTTAAAGCTTACAAAAGGGTAGGTAAGGAGATGTTACCTACTTCTGTGTAACCACTGCAGTAACTTTTTTTGCACTGTCTCCATATGGAGAACATCTAGTAATTTTAATATCTCAGCTGCTAAAACCGTTTATTTGACCTCAGAGTACTTTGAACTTTGACTCCTTCAAGCATGAATACTGCCAGAATGTCACTTCCTTTCCTCAGCTGCTGCGTGGCTGAAAAATTTAAGATGTGCTGGGTAAAAGCCTGAGCCAGACCTGTTAAGATCGTGTCCCAAGATTTGTGTGAGCAGAGCGTTTGGACGGTTTGGAGTGCTCCAAAAAGAAAAACAACCTCTGACATGTATAACACATGGCAACAAAACCAGCTCAGTATAGCAGCTTTACAGACAATCCTCAGTCATCATTTCCTCTTCTGAGTCAGGATCTCAGCCGTGTTGTTACCAGTGCTTATTGGGTGCAGTACTAGCCTTGTTTCACTTGCTGGGCAGAATGCTAGTGAGACACCAAGACATTACCGTGGGGCCCTGAGACTTGATCATTAGGAAGGGGCCACAGTTTGCTGAATGTTCACAGGTAGTGTGTTTGCTCATCTAGTTGCATACTTCACTATGGTGCAATACTTCCTCTATTTTTTTTTAATGTTTAGTTTGTGGTATGTGGTTTTGTGCTGGAACCCCTGGAATTTACAGAGCTGTAAGTACACACCATGAGCAGCAGTCTGTGTACAGGGAGGTGTATGTCCTTATATCAAGATACCTGCACTTTATTTAGGACCATTTTGACTGTCAGTTGTTTTTTGAAATAACTTGTTTCACTACATGTGACTTGATACATACTGAGGGTGGTAATAGCAGTCTTGGTAGGCATTTTAGGACTCTCTGCTCTGGTTTGTTATAGTGGGGTTCTTTGCCAGCAGAGGGTTCATTTCCTGATAAATTCAGTTGATCACAGAATGGTTTGGGTTGGAAGGGACCTTCAAGACCATCCAGTTCCAACCCCCCTGCCATGGGCAGGGACACCTTCCACTAGACCAGGTTGCTCAAACCCTCATCCAGCCTGGCCTTGAACACTTCCAGGGATGGGGCATCCACAGCTTCTCTGGGCAACCTGTGCCAGTGCTTCACCACCCTCTCCATGAAGAACTTCTTCCTGATATCTAATCTAACCCTCCCCACTTTCAATTTAAACCCATTCCCCCTTGTCCTGTCACTACAGGCCCTTGTAAAAAGTCCCCCCCAGCTTCCTTGTAGCCCCTTCAGGTACTGGAAGGCTGCCATAAGGTCTCCCCAGAGCCTTCTCTCCTCCAGGCTGAACAAGCCCAACTCTCTCAGCCTGTCCCCATAGCAGAGGTGCTCCATCCCTCTGAGCATCTTCGTGGCCTCCTCTGGACTCGCTCCAACTGGTCTATATCCTTCTAATGTTGAGGAGAGAGGTTCAGAATAGCCAGGTGACTCTGGGATGCTTTGTGGAACTAAACTTTTCAAGGAAGTGGTTCCTAAAACCTCTGGGTCCGTATACAGCAGTTAGTAGTTCACCCAGCTGCACGTGCTTCCAGAAGCAGCGGTCCGCTGCATGGATAGAAGCACATATCACAGTTTAGAAGCACGTGCCCTAGTCTGTGTCATCTGGATCTCTGCCTGTCTCAGGAGAGGTGCAATGACAGCAACACTCACCATACACTCAGAATTAAATCATAAGCCAAGTCATTATAATTAGACATTTCTGATAACACAGTTTAATTCCTGTTGTTCTGGGTCAAGAAGCCATGAAACTCTGGAACGTGTACTGTGGTTTAGGACAAATCATAGCATAAAAGCACACAAGGGAATCCTTTCTGTTGTCTTTGTATGGAAGACTTCTCACCTGTTAGCATACCGTATAGCGGGAGAGGCATAACTGGAAACTGTGATAAGTATCTCACAGCTGAAAGAACAGCTAAGATTATAAATAATTAATCTTGTATTTAAATAATTTTGTTGAGGATTAACCTTCTTTAAACATATTGTTCACTCAGGATTTTGTATATTTAAGTACAGTTGTTTTCAAATAGAGGTACTTATTTTCAAACTACTTTTGACGTGCTGAGCTGTCGATACTACAGTAGTAAATAAACAGTGTTTCCTGAGATTTCTGAGACTCCCATGAAGATATCCCAGGTTGATTAGAAGGTGTGTACTGTAGCAGTGCAAGTAATCTTCATACCATTCGTGTTTCAGTTGACAGAACTGAAGGCAGACTTCCAGTACCAGGAGTCTAACTTGAGGACGAAGATGAATAGTATGGAGAAAGCTCACAAGGAAACTGTGGAACAGTTGCAGGTGAGAAATGGCATCTCAGCCCTTAAGAAATACTTCAGATGGAATTATGTATAAATTGTTCTCTCACAGCAATGAAATAGTACCAAGTTCTTGAATAGTCATTACCGCATTCAACTTCAGATGCATTGTGCAGCAGTTCTGCAGTCACAGACCATCTCCATATGAATGGAGCTCACTGTAAGAATTGCTTTCTGACTTTAGAGGTAGAGGCTTATCTTAACGTTGATTTCTCAAAGGTGATGTTATTTTTTTGTGTCTGTTCTCTGACATTTAATCAGTTGTCAGCGTGCTGTTGGTCTGATTCAACAGCTCAGCGTAACACAATTGACGGTTAAATGTCTCTTGTTAAAGCATCTGCTTTATCAGGAGGAAACCTGAATTAGGTGCCTTGTAAATCACAGACTGAGCAGATACTCAGTTTTGCAATACAGGAAATGTGGTTACGTTTTCTGTTAAAGATGGAATATGTGCACCAGAAAGCGTATACAAATCTTCCAAAAGTGAGCATTATCATCTTTGAATATTCTCAGCATGTACATTTTGAGAGTTTGTTTCATAAATGCAGTGGGAAATGAGTGCATGACACCAACTATCTGAGAGGTTTCAGTAATTGATAAAACTTCTTTTTTATCTGTATTTGCAGGCCAAAAACAGAGAACTGCTCAAACAGGTTGCAGCATTGTCAAAGGGTAAAAAATTTGATAAAAGTGGGAGTATACTAACGTCTCCTTGAGGAACTGGCTATTCATGGGGTTTGCTACTCAATGTAAATTTGAGTAATTCTGTGAAGCCCTTAAAATCCTGTGTAGTGGAAAAAATATTTTTGCACACCAGATGAGTTGGCATGTTTCCTACACGTTTTTATAATTAAGATGCAGCTTTTTTTAGTTACTGTTCAGATGAAATACTTCAACTGGCTTGAAGAATGTTTTTATTTTTTTGATATTGGAAACTTTTTGCCAGCAATAGTATTAAAACGATGGCATAGAGAACATGGCAGTGCTCTCTCTAAAAGGACAACATGCAATAACAAACTAGGTGTACTTTTTACGAAGCAGCGACTGAGTCTTTTAAACTACACTGATGTCAGCCAAAAGTTTATGAATCTGCGGTGACACCGAACACTGGTTTCTGGCAACTGTTCTTTCACTTTGTATCAAAATATAAATTTAGAACGGAAATCATGGTGCTCTCAAGTGAAACTAAAAATAAGGCATATATGTATGTGTAAATACAACTGTAATGGTTATATTCTTAGTTATAACAAGTAATTAGTGGTTTACATTCTTGTGATAGGGATTGACCGAAAGATTATCTATTGTACAGTAACAGAGGCAGTGTGGTTTTTGTAAGATTTACTGTAGATTTTTTCTTGCAAGTGCCTTTCTCCAACTGTTTATTTATAGGAATGTTGGTATTTTGTACATAAGGTTTTTATGTTTTAAGATCATGTTTAATAAATGTTTTATGTAAATATAAATGTGTGTACAGAGAAATCTGAAACGGAGGTCGAAGTGGCTAGTGCAGTGCTTGAAGCAGCATTAAAAGCTAGCTCATTGATGGACAGTGAGTATTGGCGTTAGAGAACCTTCGTAGCTTGTGTCTCTGTGGTGTAGAATTTTGTTAGTGCTGCTCATGCCAAACACTTCCTGAACAACAAAAAAAACCCCACAAAATGGTTTTTGCCACACTGGAATTTAGTGGTTTGTTTATATATATTTTTTTCCCATTTGGCACAGCGCTAATTTTAATTCCGTAGCAGACATTGTACTCCCAATGTTACATCCTTAATTCGTGATAGACCCTCAAAGCTTTACAAAAAGGTGTTCCCCACTGTCTGATTTCATGTACTTAGTTGTGACTTACGGTGATGATTCTTAATGAATTGCAAGATTCTCATCCCCTGGTAAAATATACAATGACCAAAAAAAAAAAAAAATAGCCAATACTAATGGTCTTAAAATTAAGGGAGTGGATGTGGTGTCAAAGGGTGGGTTTTTTAATGTTTTGGGTAGATTTTGATTCTAAATGACATCAGTTTAACTTTAGCTCTGCTTCTAATGGACATTAGTCATATATTAAACAAAATTGGGTATACCCCAAGGTCTGTGTTCAGGAAACGGAGTTAATGAATGAGCAGGAAGTGAGGTGGGCTTATGTCAGTGAAAGCTGAGTTCAGCTCTGGGTACTGATTGGTGACTGCTGATATTTCAGTAAGCTTAATTGTGTAGAACAAGCCACGCACCTCTCAAAGAACTAAAAGCTGTTGGCTGTCCACCCAGGTGCTGAGCTGTGAACACCTTTTCAGTAGTTTTGACAAGTTCCTGGGGTTTCAGACTATGGGATAGTTTGCAAAAATCAAGCGAGCTGGTTTCACGTGGTATAGGTGTATTTTTATACCTTGAGGTCAGCTTTGTACGTTCAGAAATGCACTTCTTTAAACTTGCTAAATGCTAACTTGCTAGAATGCTGCTATCCTTTGGGTATGTTGGGGTTTGGTTTTAATAAACAAATTTATGACTTTAAGTCAGAGTTAGTATTTTCTACATTTTTTTTTCCAGTTGAATGGTGACCCATGTTTGGTGAAATAGGTTTTAAAACAGAAATGCATAGCAAATTGAAATGTTTGAATTAAGATCACCTAATGATATTTTAAGGATATTTTAAAGGAACAAACTTAAATTCTATATTAGAAGTAACTGAGTTTATAAATCCCAGTCAAAAAAAAAATAGTTATGTGCTTCACAGTATTTAGTTCTAATGGAATACCTGTGGGTTACTTTTGTAATGTGTCCCTGCCCATGGCAGGGGGGTTGGAACTGGATGGTCTTTAAGGTCCCTTCCAACCCAAACCCTTCTGTGATTCTATGATAATCTCATTTTTAACATGAATTTTTTAAAGTTGTGAACTAGCCAACTGAATCCCAGTCCTGAAAATAGTGTCCTGGAGCCGTAGATTATTGACATAATAAACTGATGTTCTTTAAACGTGGATCTGCGAGGAGATTGTTGTACTGTATTGTGCTTTTTAGCCTGTTTCCGGATGTTGATTAGCATTGACCAGTAACGGCCGTTTTGGCTCAAGTTATTTATGTGTTTGAAGCCTGTGAATATTGCGGCCCCCTTTAGGTAGTATGTCTGAATACACGTTCTGCGGTGAAGCTGTTCAGCTGTCCACTTGTATAGACTGTTGAAATACTGTACTGGCACACATCTGACCGTTGACATTTTGTACCTTTTCTAAATGCAATGTTTCACAATAAAATCTTGTCAAAACGTTAATCTGTCCTTTCAAAATTATTCAAAAATTCCTATTTCTGTTAATCCTCCACACAGTGTCACTCACTAAAAGTCTGTCACCAGAAAAAAAAGGCAGAATTTAATGTGTGTATTTAGATTTCTGGGAAGATTAGATCATAGAATCATAGAATGGTTTGGGTTGGAAGGGACCTTAAAGATCATCCAGTTCCAACCCCCCTGCCATGGGCAGGGACACCTTCCACTAGACCAGGTTGCTCAAAGCCTCATCCAGCCTGGCCTTGAACACTTCCAGGGATGGGGCATCCACAGCTTCTCTGGGCAACCTGTGCCAGTGCCTCACCACCCTCTCCGTGAAGAACTTCTTCCTGATATCTAATCTAAACCTCCCCACTTTCAATTTAAACCCGTTACCCCTTGTCCTGTCACTACAGGCCCTTGTAAAAAGTCCCCCCCAGCTTCCTTGTAGGCCCCTTCAGGTACTGGAAGGCTGCTAGATGTGTTGGGCTGTCTACAGATTGTAACAGATTAGAGCTTCAGATTAATTTCTCTCAAAACAATATTTTGCTTTTCTACAACAGGATTATAATACATAGAAAATTTTCTTGTCAAGAAGAAAAAAACTTAGGCTTTAAGTGAAATCTAGTGACATTTACTAAAGCCTTTAATGGGCTTTTTATATTCTGATTCACGTCGGCACTCAAGTTTAAAAGTACCTGAATTTCAGTCTGTTAACCATAAGGTTGTTTTTACTTTACGTACGTGTGTACAAGTTCAGTGATTCTAATGGGTAATGCCGTGTCCGTTCCCAGGTTGTGTCTGCACCACCCGGCTATCAGTTCTGCTGTTCAGAGCACTTGTGCCGCAAGTTGTAGATCTCCTTTTGTGTTTCCCTCAGCGCTCAGTCCTCATCTTTCTGTAAGCCAACGAGAGTAAGACTCCGTGCTTTCTGGTTGAGGCAGTTCTCTAGAAGGGGAGAATCTGAGTTTGAGCCTCACTCTGAAAGCAGTGTGTATTTTATATTAGATATAATAAGGAATAACAGGCTATTCTGAGATTGAATTGTTCTTGGCCTCCTTTTATTGGGTATTTGCAGTGGCGTGGTTCCAGCCGATTACTTTTTTAAGCTTAGAGCAAGGGAAAACTGTGTGTGGTACCTGGTTTAGACACGGCTTGTGTGACACATGCAAACCCCGTATAACTGGCCATGTAACTCTGAAACAGATTTACACCGTTTGAAGCAAATTTCCTTCAAGATGTAAATTGCTATAACCTGTGTGTGGGCAATCAGGCTGTTCCAGCAGCTTCAGAAACTCTGAATCCCCACTGATTAAGTTTACGACTGCAAAATCTACTCTTAAGATTTTTAAATGGAGCTAAGGCTGTACTCGTCACTTTTGTGCCTGCAAATGAGTTACTAAATTATCGGTTCAGTTGAAAATACTGCTGCAAAGGTACATTTTCTCATATATTGTGTGCACTTTCTTTAGCCTTCCCCATGGAAAAGGTGTTGATACATAGAATTACTTCTGTTGAATGCCACAGAAGTAGGGGGAATGGGGCAAGGAGATTATTGAGGTGGAAAGAGATGTTTGAGGTGCTTCCTGTGGTGGAGGTGTAAAGGCTAATGGGGAAGAGAAACCTCGCGGTACCATGTTACTTGTTTAAGTGATGTACTGAATCGCATGGTTGGGGTTTTTTTTCCAAGGCAGATATTATCTGTATATGTTTAAAAATAGCAACTTTTAAAGGTAAAACGCAGCATTGCTTAAGGGAGTTTTTTGTGTTTATTTTCATGATTATTAGAGTCCAAATCTGAGAAAAGAACAGAAGAAACAGCGTAAATACATCAAAATATAAAGGTACGCAATGTAAAATCCACCTTATAAGAAGTAAGTCTTGGAGTTTAGGCCTAGAAAAAATGGGTAAAAGTGTAACAGTACCATGTGGCCTTGCTGCAGCTGGGTGATGGTGCAGGTTTGACACAGGACTTGAACTTTCTGTCTGTTCATAGACAATAGACAGAAGTTGGCCTTGAGGATATGTCACTGGTGAATCGTTGACGTTTTCTCTTGCTTTAACCCAAACAGAAAGCAAGTCTGGATCTGCCCATTTACCTTCAAAAATGTTCGTTATAGTATGCTGGCCCTGTTCTAACCGGCCTTGCTCCTGGGAATTTCTCCTCAGCATTTTCCCCTTCGTTGGGTAAGGGTAACTTTGCATTTTGACTGAAGGGGTTAAGTACCACAGATGCTGATGTGCAACAGGAGGCAGGTGAAAGGAGGGGCTTGTTTGGAGAGTAGATTTTCCTTCTGCTAAGGCTCTCTGACCTTTGGAGCACTTGGATAAGTTCATTTATATTTAATTGTCAGTTGGAACATAGACATTGCAGCTTCTGAAGAATACCGAAGGCTGAAGATAAACCTGCATCATCTTTTGGTACAAAAGGACAGTCTTAGAGGCATAAGGAAAAACTGCTTCTATAGGGACTTGGTTTGATTGCAGAAGGCTTGTGGACAAACAGAAATGAATGGCACTAACAGATAGGTCAGAGTTGCTCTGGACCATGGCGATCTTTTCACAGCTTGGGTGACAGGATGTGATGTGTTCCTGCTGCGGCAGGTATTAGAATTTGCAGCCCAAGTTCATTTTTAGTTCCAGTTGTAAATCCAGCTGCCTCCTTTTTTTCGTAACTTAGAGCAATTGACTTCAAACTGAATGCTGAAAACCTGGACATGTTTTCTCTTATTTGAATCGTAGAATCATGGAATGGTTTGGCTTGGAAGGGACCTTAAAGACCATCCAGTTCCAACCCCCCTGCCATGGGCAGGGACACCTTCCACTAGACCAGGTTGCTCAAAGCCTCATCCAGCCTGGCCTGGAACGCTTCCAGGGATGGGGCATCCACAGCTTCTCTGGGCAACCTGTTCCAGTGCCTCACCACCTTCTCAGTGAAGAACTTCTTCCTGATATCCAATCTAAACCTCCCCACTTTCAATTTAAACCTGTTACCCCTTGTCCTGTCACTACAGGCCCTTGTAAAAAGTCCCCTCCCAGCTTCCTTGTAGCCCCTTCAGGTACTGGAAGGTGCTATAAGGTCTCCCCGGAGCCTTCTCTTCTCCAGGCTGAACACGCCCAACTCTCTCAGCCTGTCCCCATAGCAGAGGTGCTCCAGCCCTCTGAGCATCTTCGTGGCTTCCTCTGGACTCTCTCCCA